TCACCACTTACAGCAACAGCACCAGCAGCAACACCAACAACAACATGGGGCATATCACTTTTCGAGCTTTTTGACCTAGGCTTCACATTCTTTCTTTGTCAGAACATGACCTGCAACCTAGTCATCCAGTCTTCAGCTTCATGCAAGAGGTGATGCATGTGGAGCGCACTGTGATCTCTTACAATGCCACAGTCAGTGCCGCTGGGAAGGGCTCGGTGGATGACACTGACAGCTGGGTCTCTTCTCTGTGCCTCTTCGCGGAGTTGCGGGCATCTCGGTGTGGTGGCGTCTTCCCATGTTGGGTCAAACAGAATCATGTTCCAACATGGCTATGGGGTCAAAAGCCGGTACTCTGCTGAACACCTACGCAGCAGGGAATTTTGTATCCCCTTGAGATGTGGTATAATAATTGTCAAGGGGACATAGGCGGGAATCCGTCCATGGTTGGGGAAATAACAGCGGCCAGCACCGATGTACCGAATGCATATGTGACCGGTGCTTGGCTCAAGACACACTTGCCCCTCCGAGCAAAAGGAACTGCGGTTGCTGCCATTGGTGGTTGGGCGAGACCATTTACACGATCACAAAGTTCAACCAGTACAAGTAGACAAGAGGCACGTGTGCCCATTCACAGGTTATCAGCCGTACGCTCTACCCAGGGCGTACGGTGGTCCCACAGTACTGAGGAGCCCTACGGTGAGGCGTCGGTCAAAGGCATCTACCTGCTTGGTTGACCTCCCCACCCCGGTGGGCGGAACGACCGTAGGCTCGGGTATTGACTAAGGCATCCTGCTCAACTTGACCTACTACCAGTCATTGGGCTGTGGTAAACGGAAGTGATTTGCAGGGAAGCAGAAGCAATGTCCCAACAACCCCAATCGAGCAGCAATGAGACGAATTTTTCCTTTGCACCTGCGGTTCCAGCCGCGATCACTGACACGCCGGGATCCATGGAGAGAGGGGGCGGCGGTACGGTCTCGTACCGAGCGCCTGGAAGTGGAGCATCCTCAAATAGCTTCACGATGCTCAGCAATGCTGGTTCCTACAGAGGAAGTGCCAAAAGATCGACGTCGGCAAGATCACATCGCACTGGAAGATCCCCAACTGCTGCTATCATCAGAGACGCAAGTGGCCATGGTCCGTCGGACGCGGCCACGCGTGAGGATGAGGCGTGTCGGCCTGCCACCTCATCCAAGCGCAAGTCTTCTGGTAGTGCTACGAGGAACGAGAGCGAAACACGACTACGACGTCAACTACAACACAGCAACGATAAGCTGGAACGAAGTGAACAAGCAAGGACTGAACTTGAAAACAAATTAAACTTATATCAAGATGCTCTTATTCATCGTGATCAGATGATCAACAATGTAGAGGTCTATTCTCATCAACATCATGAAGAATATCAGGAACATGTCAAAATTAGGAGATGGAATACATGAGAAATTCCCTCATCAATGCATACAATCTACTGGACGAACAGTCCCAAGCTTTGGCCGAACCACACCTCATGGACGAAGGGTCAACAATGAGGATCTACGAGCTTGGAAAACGTGGCGAACTCGCAGAAGAAGGCGCGGCCCACATTGTCCAGGAGAGCTTAGCTATGAGGGGACGTTACCATGCCAAGTTGGAAAGTGCGTCACAACACATTAGAGAACAACATGAACAATCTGAAGCAATGGCGGAGCACTTTCGTCAAAATGGATTACAGCTTCGTGAGGCATGTGCACAGTATGTCAACGACAGGGAAATGGCGAACAAAGAGGACATGGAGCTCCTGACGCAGAAATTGGAGGAGAGCTCCCAGATGATGGTTGCCAACAATGAAATGGTCATGGAACATGGTCAACGAGCTGTCGCACTACGTGACGAACGAGTGGCGGAAATGCAATCAGCCATCAACGAGCTTACGGAGAGTCTGACAAAGAAGGACGAGATCATCGCCACCAAAGAGGGCATTGCTCGAGAACGCTTCGCAAGAATCCGGGAGATGGCGAACATGACCCACCAGAAGGAAGATGAGCACTTGTGGGAGAAGAACAAGTTGCAGATGGAAATAAACCATCTCATGAAGCTGAACGAGAACGAGGTTGCTTCGAAAGAGTGGCACGAGAAGCGATTCCTGGAGGAGAAAGCTGAGTACAGTGTGCGGACGGTGCAAGCATCAACCAAACCACCAACGAGATGGATGATCTTCGTGAGAAGCTCCGTATAGCTGAAGAACGAGCTCAACAACACTATGAAGACTTTTTCTTTCAAACCGGGGTTGCAAACAGCAACCAGGGTTGCCAGTTTGCAGGGTGTTTGCAGGCAGCATCAAAATCATCATCCCAGCGGGCGAGAGCTGGATAGAAATACCAGCCGTAGTGGCGGAGTTTCATACGCTTTGAAATTGGCTCATGAAGCCATTCATTGACAATGATGCTCCGCTACCATCTGCCAGCAACAGGAGCAGCGCAAGCCGCGAAGAAATGACTTCCTACATGAAGGGCAGGCTCAGGGTGGGCGGGACAGAAAGCTAGCAGCAGCTCATTAATGTTGACAATCACATCGTGATGGCAATCACATCGCCGAAACCTGTACCAAAAACAAGCATGGACTTGCCATGCTCTTCAACTCAGTTGCAAACGCAGCACTTCTTTTGCGCTGTCACTCGGTCAGTCAGGTCATCGTTGCAATCCTTCTTTGGATTGGTCAGCCATCTTGTCCAAACGCCGTCTGTGGCGTAAATTTCCACCCCAAGACTATGGGTCCCATGAGTCTGGGCGAAGGCGGCAATCTCAACACAGACAACCACAACCTGGAAAATTGCATCTGTTCGAACGCAAGCTGAGAAATGTCAAGGTTGGACCTTTGAACATCGTCTTTGCCATTCCCTGGGTGGGGCCGGGTGGGGGTCGCAGTGCTCTATTTTGTCTACAAAATGGCTTTGGGACCACTTCTCCAGCCTACAAAATGGTAGGGCCATAGAAAGTGGGCACTTCATGGCGTACAAAATGGTGGTGCCTGTCAACTGTCATCTTTGAACGGCAATTTCAAAGCGCAATCAACTATATAATATTACCCTGGAACTAGACGCGAAATCAAATAATACCACTATCACTCTCAATCTTTCAATGCTCAAAGTGATGGTATGTTGAAACACGAAAAGTAGGATGATAATAATAGCCCCGTCAAAAATGTCACACGCAAACGCAGAAACCATCACTGGACGCTCTGGTTCGAAATCACAGGTGGGGCCGCCAAAAAAAAAAACGTTCTGGCCCCAACAGGTGTCCCACAGGTGGCACAGTGTGAAGTAGCAATGTGGCATCCAGAAAGTCATTAGTTGTTTTCCGGGCAATGGAAGGACCTAGATACCAAACCTTCAAGGCTCACTTCTTTTCCATCCGACGCAAAACTTCTCGGCTGGCACGCGTTCTGGCTCACAAGCTAGAAACTACTCAGTCAACATCCTGGGCCACATCCTCAACGGGGGCTTCCTCCTCGCCACCTTCAAACGAGAGACCATCAGCAGCCTCACCGTCTGCAACCCCGCCGTCAGCCCCAGCAGCTGCACCAGGAGCTGCTGCTGCGTCTGCCATTCGGCCGGCACGAATCTTCTCCAAGGCTGCCTCCTTCAAAGAAGCCTCAGAGCCGGAGACTGGAATGAAAATGTGCTACTTTGGGCTACAATGTTCAAACCATAGAGCGAAGAGCGAACATTGATCAAAATTTGAGAGCTGAGAGCGAGGCCGCCATGACTTTCCCATCTTCCTTGGACATGCCTTTCTTGAGGTGATCAACCATCAAGTCCTTGGAACCAAAACTCGTTCAATCAATCCTTGCAAACAATTTGATTTGTCTCAAGTAAAACAATCTGCAAATTACTGTGCTGATTTCATCTGGGTTTGAAACTACGATTTCCATGAGCTTCTCATCCGGGAGCTCGTCATGCTTATGAACCTGCGCTGCAGATGCTATCTGCTATCATTCCTCTCGCCGGAATTTTCAAAAGAGGCCCTTCCCACACTGCAGCACTGACTCTGTTCCGGCCTGAACGTACTCCCTGCCGTTCACAGAGATTGCCCAAATTCCCTTCTTGGTGTAGGGGTACTTTTTGACCTTGAGCTCGCCCGACGGACTTGGCAAGTTGGAAGCTGGCCTCTTGGCTGGCTGGGCTGACCCTGCAGACGACGCTGGACGTTTCAATGCCTTCTTGGGGGCACTCTTTGTCTTAGCTTTCAGCTTCGAACCCTCCTCATCAGAAGCCTCACTAGGACCAGGAGACTCAGCAGGAGGATCAGCAGCGGGAGGCTCACTGTCATCAGGAACCTTGGCAGTCTTCTTCTGTTTTTTGGCCGCCGTCTTGGTAGTAGCCGTCTTAGTCTTGGCAGCAGCCCCCTTGCCTTTGGCAGGTGGCTTTTTCGGAGCAGCCGCCTTGGGTTCAACTTTGGTCACAGGTGGTGCAGCCTCCGCATCCGATAAAGTTTCAACAGGTTCCAGGGCCGACATCCCAAGAGCGACACCGGGCCAAGCAGCATAAGAAGCTAAAATCTTGCGATACATTGTGTCTAGTATGCGTGACACACGCAAAATCATACAATGTTCAATGACATGTGACATTGATGTGAATTCGACGTCTATCAAGCTACAATTTAAGCGCACATTGCACGCCACCACTACGGTGCAAAACGACTTGCACCAGCGGCACTTTTCCATTACATCCCCTGGACTGCCAAAGTTTGAGCCATTGGCCGGTTCATATGCCCACATGCGTTGACCTCACCTACACAAGCTTTACGCACGAATGCGCTTCAAGGGCTAGCTTTCCCACTAACCAGAACTTGGGCTTGATTGGCTTCACCAGCGTGTGATCTGTTGATACCTCGGCGGCGCGTCTGCAAAGTCTGGTCTAATAAATGTCAAATTGTGGGGAATTATTGTTGCGAAATTGTTGGCAAGCACATGATTTAGCCTGCATAACATCGCAAAATAATGATTTAAAGCCGGTTTCAAAATTAAACCTGTTGCGTCCACAGTACTTCCCATGCCAACTGGGCCTGCGTCGTTGGGAGCTTCCCAAAATTTCCAGCAAAGATCAGGCCAAACAAGGTGGGGCGGACAGCCAAGCGGTCCACCGAATCTGCCAAGGGCTTGTGCTCATACACGTTGGTCCGCCCATTCACTTGAACATCATAACGAAAAGGCAACGGCTCATTCTCCTCGAGGGGATGGCCGCCAGCCAGCCAGCCCACACCCGAGAATGATAGCTACACTTCATGTACGAAGGCCCCTTCTAATACATGCAATGTTATATTAACTAAGCATGATTCAATCAAGTCCTGGACGCGCTGCGTCAAACTGTGATCCACGAGGGTCATCTCAGTCAGCCCTTGCCGCTGCGCCGCTTGGCACGCCATCTCAGAGATACATGTCGGCGACTTGCCAGACTCTGCGACTTGGATGACGACATCCGTGTCCTTGTTCAAAATCCATGGGATGTACTTGTCGCCCTCACTGCGAGCCGTTCCTCCAAAGCAAAACATCATCGTGCAAAACATTGGAACTGGGTTGCGGTCATGCTGGACAATGGTCAATGACTGAAATTAAATATAACAATATATCGCCCAGCCTGCCGCTTTGGCAACATAAGCTCCCATACCGAAGCCAAACAATTCGCAAGCATCCAGCTCGATCAACTCGTCGGTGTCATTGAGAAGCCAGAGTTCATAAGTGTCCGTGGCCACAATCCCGACCTTGTCGATGCCAACAATGGTGCTCTGGCCAATGACCCTGGCAGCCACCATCATTATTGATTCAAAGAAAACTAGTTGGATGCAGGGTGGCCTTGACAAGACAGCCTGCTGCTACTTTGGATCAATGAATCATTTTCAAAGACAAGGTGCACTTTGTCAGCGCTGAAAGCGTCTTCGGACAACACCGTTGCTGGCTCAATGACTTTCTGCAAGTTCTTGGGCTGGTCAGCGGCGGTGAAGGCAGGCGAGCAGCGCGTGCGTCTGGGGGTTGAACGTTCACCTCTTGAAGGTGTTGGAGTTGGAGGCTGAGACTCTGAACAGTTGCCACGCATTGTCAAGGAATGATCCTCATTCCAAACCTGCAGTGCTTTGGTGAACTTGGCGCTGCAATGCCCCAGCGAGGCCAGGATGGAATCCGGAAGCCTTGGCACCGCAGCTCAAATGTGACAGCGAAGGTTTGCAAAGGAACCTCTTTGTGACATACTTACCATCTCAACCACTGACTTTTTCTTATTTCTTGACTGCATTTGAAAAACTTCAAGATGTTCTTCTCGGAATCTACTGCCAAGACTTCCAGCTGCGGCTTCACTTCTTGGAACTGCTCTCCCGGACGGGATTGCGGGCCGGCTTCGGCTGACTTGTCCCACCATTCCTGAAACTCTTCTCCACAATGCAGGGCGCAACATGGCAATGGCAAAACTTTGATAAATAATGTCTGAAATTCCAAGTGTCGTGTGGAAATCAAATGACTAAGCTTCTGACTGAGTACATGATGCCGCTCATGCTGTTTGCTGCAGCTTTCATATCAGTAGCCAGTCCCCAATCAGAATCCTCATCATAGTAGCAAGTATAGCGCCAGTCATGGCCACGGCCAGACTCTTTGCAAGCCTTCTGCAACTCCCACACAGCGCGGCCCCACTCGTTGAACCTGCAACAACACCGATGGCAAATGAAACGCTCAATGCTGCTCGAAACTGACTACAGAAAGCTGGGGGCTATCAGCGTGCTAGTTTCTGCATCCTAATTTCAAACTTCCTGTGTGGGCAAGTCACTTGTTCGGGGTCAAATCGGTGACAAACACCCGTGAATCAGGCGGGATGTCCAAACCATCAATGAGCTTGAGCAAAATCTCTTTGGTTCCAATGACGCCGCGCTGCTGCACCTGGGACCCAGCAGTATTTACTGCAATTAAGGACATACTGCTTGACACAACATTACAGGAAACCAAGGATGAACGTCCCTTCAAGGCAACAACTCAACTCTGCGCAGTCAAGACTCACGATGCGCAGGGGAACATGGTCTGTCAGCATCGTCCGAAATCAACTCTGTAACTCGAGCCCGGGTGATGGGACCCAGAACTCCCAAAAAGACACGGCTCTTGCTGAAACCAAAGGTCTTGTGCAAGCTACTCACTGCTGCAAAGCCTGGGCTAAGAGAAAACAAACAGGCAGAATGCCCAACAAAAAACAATAACACATTCACAGTCAGACTGCGCTGCGGCGTGACTCTGTTATCTAACTCCAAGAAACATGGTTGGGATCGTTTCCTCTTGTCGCCACCGTGCCCGGTATCACAGAAGGTGAGGCTCACATCAGTGATGTCCAACGAACTCAGTCAGAAAACCACTTCAAGTAGAGGTGGGGATGGACATGTACGAAGCCGCAAGCACTAGTTATACTAGTTTTAGAGTGGTGTCACTCACATAGCGGAACGTATCAGACCAATCCACATGCAGCAAAGAATCGCCATCATCTTGTCTTCAAGAGAACGACGATGGGAAATGACACTCGACTGGTCCGTGCTGGGATGAATCTGCGGGGCTAACACAAAAATCACTGCGTTCGGGTTTGCGCAGCTGATGCTCTTTGCGACGTCCAGGGCATCATCGACCAACACACTGCCTTGATTTATAGACAAATTTTGTCTAAGCAACGACTGCGTTGCTCAAAAGTTCGCTTGCAAAGCTATTTCTTTAACGTGCACAATGACAAGCGACGGCTTGGCCACACAGTCGCATCCAAAATCATGATGTTCAACCTCAAGCTTGGCAACTTGACAAACTCACTTAAACTTAAATTTGCTGAATTCACAGGCTGCAGGCAAGAAACGAGCTTGGCGTTCCACCACAGTCAGATTGAAATTGCAGCAAGTCTGCATGTGCATCTGATAGGCTTGGCACCCCTTTGTACCTGTGAGTTTTGCCCTGAAGTGCGGCGACTGCCCTGCGCCCCTCTTCGCAGCGCCGTGACAAGTAGGCCATGTCAAGCGCCCCCTGTCAAAAGCCACTCTCTGGCAAAAGCATCCAAAATGGAGCAGGTGTGAATATGACAGGACAAACACTAGCAACAGCAACAATGGGATGCACCAGGTGTGAAGGAGAAAGAAAATCTTAACACCAACAACGGGACTTATCGGGATTTGGCACCTGCCGTGCTGCAAAATCAGCGGCTCGAGCAAGCCACCCCTCCATAAGCGCAAAATCATTGTTCATCTTGAGTTCGGTGCTTTCACTGGTGATCTCGACCATTCGTTTGGCCAGCCTGAAAAATGATGATTAAAGCATATTAAAGCAGGATTCTTGGGACTCTTGACGCAACTGACCACTAGCAGTCACTAGCAGGCCATCCAAGTTGCTCTTCAGAAGCCTTCACCTTTTCGTCCTCAGCCTGGAAGAGCTTGCCAAGCAACTGCAAACTACAAACCTGGAACAAAGTGATCCTTGAACAAAGTGCATCCTGCCTGTCTCTGAAATTTTGCAATGGCTGTACGAAAGATCCCACACCGCTCCAAATCAACTGGCGGAGCTCCCTCCAGCATTCCCACCAGCTCTGCGTCACCATGTTTCAAATCAAACCTCAGGAGCTGAATGGGTGTTGGATCGAAACAATGCTCGTGAACGAGCAGGCGCCCAAAAAGTGCTGCCAGGGAGCGACCGTTTGATGCGAGGGCGCTCCTTTTCCACAAAGTCAATTGGGAACTCAGATTCGAAGCGGCTCATGCAAGCCAGAAAAATTGCACTGCTGCGTTGGTAGTATTCCTAGGCTGGATCATGAACAGTCATTGGGTATGAGAATCATGGCATGGGTCAAGCTTGTCAAGATTTGGGGTACAAGAAAATCAAGCCTGCAGAATTGCACTTGACATGAAGGAGTTTGACGACCACACTTCGTGTCACCAAGACAAACACTTCAACTTCAGGCCGGCCTTTTAAACATGGTAGCCGACACTGTGCACTTGCTAACAAGGGTCAACATCCTTCAGGGTGAAGGCTTTGCGCATCTTTGGAGCCAAACTTAACCAATCACGAGACATCCGGTCGACCGTCATGTCCAGAATCTGCTCGGTGTTGGTCAGGGTTTCTTGCCAGGCTTGCATTGTGTCTGTGGCACTGCAATAGTTCTGGTTCCAAGCGCCCGCAGCTATGCTCTCATGAGTCAAGAACTTGGCCATTGAATGTTGCCTTAACTAAACAGCAAGTGGCGATCTACAACTTCAAAAGCAATCCAGAACTGCAAAACGCACAGGACAGATGTTTTGTTCAGGTGCTGAACCAACTTCGACAGTCTCAATGCAATCCTGGGAGAAACGTCATTGTAAAGGTGGAGTGCAGCCTGTGACTCCGCCTTGCCAACGACATAGGCTTCTGAGATCTCACACGCTTTTGCCCAGACCTGATGGCGCTTTCGCGCAGCACATTGACCCCACCTTGACATTCAAAAACTTTAGCCTGAACCAAACACCTGGCACCTGGCCTCTTCTCCATCCTTCAAAGAGTTGAACTTGCGAAGTAGGTTCATTTGATGCAAAAGATTAAATGCATTCGGCTTCCTGCGCAACTGGCTCGCCATTGTGGACCCTGCACGGGGGCACGCCGGAATGCACTGGACTTGAATTCTCTATACTGGACGAAAGGGAAAGCAGGGAAAGCAATTCACAGCAGCAACGGCCTCTGTTTGAGCTCACAAGAAGGTGGGGCTCGTCAATCACCACAGTAGCATGAATTGTAGCGAAGGACCTGGGAGACAAAATCTCACCATGACTATCACCAGTCAAATTTCCTGGCAAAACCGGGGCATATAGTAGCGAAACCGGTTGTTGAGCTAAGATTCTCCTTGATGTCTCGTGGCAATGCCTCCGATTCTGTCAAATAACAAATTTGCCGTAGCACTGCCAAATGCATTAATTCACTGTGGCTGAAAAAAAAAATGTCACCTTCACCCTGGGGCACCTGGTGGAACTCCGGGCTCTCAAAGGCAGCCAACAAGATTGTCAGCAGTGAAATCCCTCGACTCCATCCTTTCACAACAAAGACATCTGTCGGTGACAACATGCCATCGCACTCCGGAGCAACATCATTGGCTGAGAGCTTATGCGTCGGGGCAGCAACCGAAGGATCCACAAAAGTGATGGCAATCTTTTCGACTCCCACTGCATTGGCATCCGTCGTGCACCTGGCCGCCAAGCATTGATATTGACTTGCCAAAATTCCTACAAAAAGGCATGTCAAGTAACAGCGTGTTGCCCACAACTTGAAATTTGCAAGGTTTGAATTTGAGCCAGGCACCCGTGGAGCAGCATCAATTGGCACAGTTGCAGGTGGGTGTCCTTGTGACTAACAAGTGCCTTCTCGACTGCAAGTTTGACACCCATGCCCATTTTAGCTTTGAGATGTTGAAAAAATAAGTCAAGACTCCGGCTCTACCAGACCTTTGCATCCCATCTGCGGCTCCCATGGCAAATGCCAGGGCCGCAAGTAGGCGCTGGAATTGGCACACTTCAGAATCGTAGGGGCCGAATACTCCCTGAAAGGCAAGGTAGAGGGAGCGCAAGAAAAAAAACGGAGAATAGCACATGAACAGTGAATCAGAAGACTAAGCGTTGCAATCACAGACTTGAGGCAGCGGCACATTCTTTGTAGGGGGAAAATGCTCGTCGACAAACCGCACAAACTGAAGCAATCCTTCCTTGGAAGTGCGCAGCATGACCACTTTAATAAACTGAATGGCTTCAACACACGTGGGACCACGATGCTGTCCTTCGAATTGAACTTCGCGGCCATGTACTCGCCAATGCTCTGGGACTGTTCCAAGCGATTTGACCTCGTGGAAGTTTCACGTGCAAGACTTGCTTTCCGAGCAACCTGAAGACAAAGGTGGCAACACATGTATACTAGTTCATTTACTGTTCCTTGCTGCAACTTAGACACAGCCATGCCCCAAACATTTTGACATAGGCCAATTCGGCAGGTATCTCCAGTGTGGTTTCTTCCTCCTTGACCTTTTTGAACTTCAAGGGCTTGGTCCCATCAGCGGACAATCTCCGCTTGTTCGACATGGTGTCGGACACGTCGGACACCAATCAAATGGAGAAATGGAGAAATGGCTGCAGGGATACAAAGTCAAGGGTGCAAGGTCGGAAGGTGGAACATCAGTGTGTATAATGCCATGCATCACGAGCACACTGAAACATCAAGCCGGCTGTCTCAAAATTGATCCATTTTGTCAGAGGGCAGCGATGACTTGTTTGCCCTTTGGTGCCAAACTGAATTACAAATTTCGATTTGGTAATGGTCCCGTGTGCGATGACACGTGTGGCACCCAAAGCGCTCACTGAGCTATCCACCGACCCATGGGCAGGAACCTGGCAGCAAAATGAAATAAAGGACATCAGAAAATAAAACCCGTCCCTTTCAAACCGATTTGGCGTTCCATGTTGCAAGGCAACCCTGTGGAAAAAAGGATCAGACTAGCATTGACACCAGTCACCGCAACACTGACCCAAGTTTAGGTTGGATTTCATCAATGAATTTGCGCTGTCAAATGCTGAAATCCAACCAAAAAAGGATGGTTCAAAAAAACCTGTGTGTTTCCAATTTTTGTGTCAGATCATGACGGCATCCCACACACATGGAAAACTACCTTGTACTTAATCCATTTCGTGAAATCTGTTGACTTTCATTTTTCCCGATGGCATAGGCCCTAGGTGTCCATGCCGCGCCTAATTTTTTTGACTTTTTGATACTTTCTATGCAAAAAATGTCAAAAAGTTGCATGGAAACTTGATTTTTGAATTTTTGTTGAATGATGATTTTAGCCGACAAAAAATCATGGCTCACAAAACCTTTGTGTTTCCAAATTTTGTGTCAGATCACGACGGCATCCCACACAAATGGAAATTTACCTTGTACTTAATGCATTTCGTGAAATTTGTTGATTTTCATTTTCCCGATGGCATAGGCCCTAGGTGTCCATGCCGCACCCAATTTTTTTTGACTTTTTGATACTTTCTATGCAAAAAGTTGCATGGAAACTTGATTTTTGTTGAATGATGATTTTAGCCGACAAAAAATGATGACTCAAAGAACCTTTGTGTTTCCAAATTTTGTGTCAGATCACGGCGGCATCCCACACAAATGGAAAAATTACCTGGTACTTAATCCATGTCGTGAAAGTTGTTGATTTTCATTTTTCCCGATGGCATAGGCCCTAGGTGTCCATGCCGCACCCAATTTTTTTGACTTTTTGATACTTTCTATGCAAAAAATGTCAAAAAGTTGCATGGAAACTTGATTTTTGAATTTTTGTTGAATGATGATTTCAGCCAACACAAAAATCATGGCTCAAAGAACCTTTGTGTTTCCAAATTTTGTGTCGGATCACGACGGCATCCCACACAAATGGAAATTTACCTTGTACTTAATGCATGTCGTGAAATTTGTTGATTTTCATTTTTCCCAATGGCATAGGCCCTGGGTGTCCATGCCGCACCCAAATTTTTTGACTTTTTGATACTTTCTATGCAAAAAGTTGCATGGAAACTTGATTTTTGTTGAATGATGATTTTAGCCGACAAAAAATGATGACTCAAAGAACCTTTGTGTTTCCAAATTTTGTGTCAGATCACGACGGCATCCCACACAAATGGAAAATTACCTGGTACTTAATCCATTTAGTGAAATTTGTTGATTTTCATTTTTCCCGATGGCATAGGCCCTAGGTGTCCATGCCGCACCCAATTTTTTTTGACTTTTTGATACTTTCTATGCAAAAAGTTGCCTGGAAACTTGATATTTGTTGAATGATGATTTCAGCCAACACAAAAATCATGGCTCAAAGAACCTCTGTGTTTCCAAATTTTGTGTCAGATCGCGACGGCATCCCACACAAATGGAAATTTACCTTGTACTTAATGCATTTCGTGAAATTTGTTGATTTTCATTTTTCCCAATGGCATAGGCCCTAGGTGTCCATGCCGCACCCAATTGTTTTTGACTTTTTGATACTTTCTATGCAAAAAGTTGCATGGAAACTTGATTTTTGTTGAATGATGATTTCAGCCAGCAAGAAATGATGACTCAAAGAAGCTTTGTGTTTCCAAATGTCGTGTCAGATCACGATGGCATCCGACGCAAGAACCCAAACCAGTTTTGTTTTCAAATTTTGTGTCGGATCACATCAAGATCTGACACACAAATTGTCAACAGCAAGTGCGTTTCTAAATTTTGTGTCGGATCCCATCAACATCCGACACACAAAAAAAAACAAAGCCTGTTGTGTTGCCAAATTTTGTGTCGGATCCCATCAACATCCGACACAAAAAAAACAAAGCCGATTGTGTTTCCAAGTTTTGTGTCGGATCCCGTCAACATCCGACACAAAAATCAAAGCCTGTTGTGTTTCCAAATTTCATGTCGGATCCAAATTTTGTGTCGGATCCCATCAGCATCCGACACAAAAAAAGCAAAGCCGGTGGTGTTTCCACGTTTTGAATCGAATCCCATCAGCCTCTGACACAAAAATGAAAGTTACCAAGCTTTAAATGCCGACTCAAAAACCTATGTGTTTCCACATTTTGTGTCGGATCCCATCAGGATCCGACACAAAACGAAAATTACCTTGTAACGTGCATCCCGCGAACATTTGGTGGTGACCATGTTTTCCTGGAGGCACTGGACAAGTCAGCTATACAAAAGCTGCAGCGTGGGGAAACAAATCTATCACAAATACCATCCGGGCAAACTCAAGAGTTTTAGAGTCTGATCCCAATAGGATTCATCACATTTACAGCCGGATTTGGCAGCAACTTGCTCAAAATCAAAAATCAGATCAATAAAAAGCACGCTTGGCTGAAAATCCATTTGCTTTAGAGTTGGATCCCAGTAGGATTAGACTCAAACACTGCTACATCTCAAACCAGCGGTTTTGAGTGGGATTTTACCTCCCCGGCTCACGCAAAATGTGTCGATGAGACATGGCTCGGTAGTCGCAAAATGTTTTGTTGTTACACATTCAAGCATGGCTTCGTTCTTTAAAAATATGAATCTGCATTGCTGACATCAAATCAAGTTGCGGTAGCACAGGAATCAAAGGCTTCCTTCACAATTTCAAAAGCTTTGGGCCATGGAAGCCCTTCAGACCACAGCTTTGCTGCAGCTTTGAACATGTGGTACTTCTCAGTTTTGGACTTGTATCTCGCAAGGTTTGCCCTGGGCATCCTTTCATGGACCATATCCATCCTGTTGAGCGCCTCACAGCCGTCAACCGTGCAAAATTAAAAGAATGCAACCAGCCAAGCGCAATAGAAACGAATTCCAAATGAATTTTGCCATTGATTTTTCATATAGGCTTGCACTCAATGCCAAGGCACCGGTTGCAAGTCAACAGCCGGGCGAACACCACCTCCATCAAAACCATGCCCCACTGCTGGGCCAGGTGATGGCAAGATCCTGCATGGCGCAGAACATGTTGGATGGGAAGGACAGAGTGGAAGTAGACTGGGACATTCACCGACAAAAATTTCCAACAAACAACATGCCTTGGCTTGAACTACCCGGCAATAAAATGTTTGAAGCGGCCTGTCAGCTTCCAGCGGCTGCCCGCGCTGCAAATTCCCTTCAGCAAGAGCCTGCAAATGGTCTGCCGCCGCGTCCAGGCAGAACGGCTCCGCTCCTAGCAGCCGGGGGTGCTAAAACTTACTGACAGTTTTTAAATTTCCGTGCAGGGCGGGAGAACCCCAATATGAAATAGGGATCCTATATCCATTTAGTGTTGAGAACACCTTTTTCACGGCATATCTTTTTTAAGCATACCATCAAATTTGGTCGCAACGATTGGCAAGGGTTTGAGAAAGATGCTGAAACCTCACCCTTATAGTAGGTGAAACATTCAGTGCATCTAACATCTACTAGACCCTGTCTCCCCTAAAAAGAAATGAATCCGAAGTCACCCCTCATGGTGCCTTCAAAAACAATACTCATTGCGCCAAAGAAAGGTTTGGCTCATTCAATAAAAACTCATGTGGTATATCTGTTGTGAATGCATCATGGCATGCTTATAGCATCACCAGTAGTACCAGAATAGAGCTCAGCAACCATAAGGAAAAGATAGTTACACCAGAAGAATGGCCCATTAAGCGTGATCACATATCTATATACATTTTGATCACTAATCTTGATGGAAACTCAATGTCGGGAAAGATTGTAAGGGCACCCAAGCAAGCAACATCCGTTTGGAAAAAAACGCGACGAAACGGCGAGCATGATGTTTGGTGTGGCTGGCGATCACACCCAATTTCACAAGGGATAAACCGACCAAATGCCGCAAGCTCGGCTTTGCATGACTTTCTTCCACCCCATCAAAAAAAACATGTTGGCTCCGAGAGTCTCATGATTGAAGCGTACTTCAACCAACCTTCGGCTCCCTTTCGATCGCGCTCTCTCTCATCATTGAGGACTGGCGTGCACGTGCCACACAATAGATAGTAAATAATAAGCAAAGTTCTGACATATGTGTAAATGTTTACATGTATATGTAAATATATATATATATATTTATTTATTTATTGATTTATTTATTTATTTTATTTATTTATTTATTTACATATGTATATATATATATACACATGGTCCATATTGCACAAACACATTATTATATGAGTTTGCTTGTTTTAAAGTATATGCTTCGCAAGAAAATGTTATATGTACATATATATATATGTGTGTGTATGGTGTGAGGTGTACATGCGTGTGTATATAAGCACGTAATATTTGTATATGTTTGTGTATGACATATTTTGTCAATGCGATATTAGTTTGAATTTTGGTTGATTTTACTAGTAGACCCCAATCCTGTGTACCTCCACTCCCATTCTCGTCTTAAGTCTTAAGATATACCCCCCTAAAAGTAGATGGCGCAACTCCAAAACCAAAATACCCATAAGATGGCACCGCGCGGTGAGAAAGAAAACGGCGCTATTTTAGCTGGAACATAAAACGAGTTCCGCCAATTGAAAAAAAGTCACCCTACTTTAAAATGAGAAGGTAGATTGCGCAACTCGTTTTGGGCCTATTTTGAGCCCGAAACCGACCCAAAATTCAACCTCAACGGAGCCATGCTTCCGTTGGGGTTGCAATTTTAGGCCCGAAAGCCGCCAACAGAACCCCAAGTGGCCCAACATAGCCTTCTATGTTGAGCCTATGTTGAGCCCATGTTTGGCCAAAAAAACGTGTTCATTTGACGCCCTAAATCAGCGCCCAAAAGAACACCCTGTTTTGGGGTCATGTCCGGGCCAATTTCCTGTTGGTTTCGACCGGGGCGAGGAAACCCAAAAAAACCGAGATGTTGTAAAACTCGGTCTTTTTCAAGTTTGAATTTTCCACTGAGTTTTTCAAGTTTTGAACCCCAGCAGGAAATTTAGAAGACCCAACAAAACCGACCCAAAAATAAGGGGCTCATTGCTACTTAAAATTGACCGGACCAAGGAGCCCCCCCAGTTTGGCCCACCATAAGCTGCCCAGATTGTCCAACATAGCCCCAACAAGCTCCAAATGCTCCCAACATGGACGCCCAACGGCCCAACCTCCCTCAAAAAAGACAGAAGATTGCAAAAAAAAATGTCATTTTTAGGGACATAGATGGCTCAACTGACCTGTTTTAAAGGGAGTTGAGCCATCTATCCCCCTTTTTTTGTGACATAGATGGGGCAACTCAAGATTCTGAGCCATCTACTCTTAGGGCATTAGGTACCATTCTTGAAACCATCTTTGTCAAAACAAAACAAAATAGGCCCGGCATGGCCCAATGTAAGCCCAACATGGCGCAAGCTTGCCCCAAATGACCCAACATGGACCCAACAGAAACCCAAAATGGCACAACATTGGTCCGACATAGCCCTTCATGAACCTCAACCGAAAAGTTTTCGGTTGGGTTTGAATTTTTCATTCCAGAAACCTCCGTGGAGCCCAACATAGCCCACCAAATGACCCAACATGGCCCAACTTAAACCCCAAATTGCCCAACATTGGCCCAACATTGGCCCAGCATTGGCCCAGCACTGGCCCAACTGACACCCAAAGAAACGATCGCATCATAAGGATCCTTATGATGCGGTCATTCCCCCCGCCCCTGCAGAGACCTAAAACGGCCCAACATTGGTCTGACATAGCCCCCCAAGTGCCGCCCCAAAATGAACCTCAACCGAAAAGTCTTCGGTTGGGGTTGAATTTGTCATTCCAGAGACCTCCATGGAACCCCACATAGCCTACCCAATGACCCAACATGGGCCCAATTTGGAACAACATTTAGGAAAAGTAGGACCTAGCAAGTTTTCCTTTGAACCTTGTCCTTGGGCCAGAAGCCCCAATGATAGAATTAGAAACGTTGCCATGCGCAAAGTACGTAAGTATTACATGTGTTCTTACACTGGAAAGCAGCCGTCCGGCAACCAAGCCTGTCGGAATAGCCCCAGTGTGGGCTATCTCTTGGCAAACTCTCCCAGGCAAGTAGAGAATTGCTGGCTGCTTGAACTCAGGGTCGCTCATGTACTGCTTAGTCCTCCAATCGGAGACGGTACCATAACCTACTGATTTCTTCTCTCTTCGAAGTAACAAACACAGCAGTGAGTGACAGGGTGGGATTTGCAGCTGTAGCTCGAACACTTGGTTTCAACCCTGGCCTGAGCACCACATCGCACCCAGCCCGCTGAAACCCAAACTTATCCCAGAACGATGTTGCCATTCCTTGAAGAGCGTCACCTGCAGGGATGGCAGCATGAAGTCAAACAGGAATAACAAGATCGCCCGGTGTGAATAAAGTGTCACACACACCCATCAAATTAAAACCCGATGCACGGTGAGCTTTTGATGGGGGCTCTGGCCTGGAACATCAGCCAAACGGTCAAATGCAAAAACGTGCGGCGCACCAGGGCCACCAATGCCGCGTAAATGATTTCCGCGACAAGCAAGATGGAGGAAATTTTTCCTGCCACATGGAACAGGTTCAAAACTGGCCCTGTAGATCATGGGCACCCTAATGATTGAAGCAGTTTAATTGGTAATTTTCCCGTTGGTTTGGCTGCGCGAAAGGGGTTAAGAAGGGCGACTTTTTTGCGCCAAAAAGGGTCCCAAAAACAAAGACAAAAGTCGCCAGTAAAAATCCCAAACCAAAAGGAAAATTACTAAGTTTAATTGTTCCTTGGGAGGTGGCTAGAATATACTCACATTTGTTTGGAGGAATTATAAGTTGAAGTTGAACGCCATGCACATTCAACAAAAATGATGTCAAAAGAAAAAGTTTTGCGTAATGTTCATGATGGACCCATTTAAAAAGTACGAAAAGCAACACAGTAAATCCAACGAAGATTGTCAGAAGCTCATCATGTTTTAACCCTTTCTGGGCATGCACAAAGTCTGGGAGCTCAAGTCAGCGCCGTCAAAATTCCAATGCTCAATTTTGCTGACCAACCCATGGAAAACTGTCAAGCGAGAAACTAAAAAGGCTCTGAATCAATGATCGAAGTGACCAATCCCGTGATGCAGAGACCATGGACACCCGTCTGAATCGCTGCTCATCAGGCCGGGTTTGGCCCTCATCCAGCCATGGCTGCAGCAAGGATTGGAACTCGCTTGGTGTTTGCAAAGACCGTTTGGATTCTACCAGATTGGCGATCTGTGCAAACCATTGGTCACAATCTTCGTGGCTGTGACCACTTTGTAAAAACCGGAATTCCAGCCTCTTGCATCGAGAAAGTCCGGTCAGCATTCCACCCCACCTCAACAGGCAATTGTTCTTAATTTCGCGTGAGGTATTATCCGATTGGATAATTACCTCATACTCACGCAAATCGCAGAAGCTTGCGAAGGTGTGAAGTACATGAGACACCACATCGCAACAGAAGCTGCTGTCCTTCTTCATGAACGGCTCGGTGAGACTGACAAAAACTCCATGGCCGTGTACGATTGCAGCGTAGCAATCTAAAGAAGGTCTCAAAAAACTCGAAAACTCTTTCGCAGAAAAGGCCAAATCCTTTGGGTATCTAAATTTCTGATGGTCCAGGCCGTCAACGATCAGAGTAATTGTTTTCAATCCCGAAGGTAGCATAGGCAACTTGCTGTGGGCCCGACTCATCCAATAATGTACTCGGTCAGAGTACTGAACATCTAAATGCTTGGAGTACAGCAAACATTGAGATTGTCTTGCTGCACGATCTGTGGCCAAACGTTTGATGATCAATTTGTGCTTGATGCAAATCGTACACTTTGCATGCTGCGACTCCTCGCGGATAGCCAATGAATTTGCAAAAGATGTGCTCCAAACCTGGTGTGGAACCGCAATCGTTTTGTCCTGCCTTGGAAAAAAGGCCCCTGCACAGAAAACACGATGTTCTCAATAACATAAATGCTAAAAATCTTGATGGTTAAACAATTGGACTTGTGTTCTTGTACAACTTGTAGACAAGGAACACGGGTGAACAGCTTCAAGGAAATCTTGAGATCCGGCCACCTGCTCTGCAAAAGGCGGAGGTAATCCGTGAAAGAGCCCGGTGGTAACAACCGCAGGGAAGAGCGATCCCCCCCTCGACTCCACTGAGAAGCACCACGCGGTCTGCGCCCTCTGTGTCTGCGAAACAGTGTGAGGCTCCGCTTCTGTTCGTCAAGAAGCTTTGGATTCTGATTCGCCTCCGGCAAAGGCTCGGAGATGCTGTTCCGCATTTCCTCAAGGAACTCAACAATGATGGCACGTTTCCGGAGGTACGCAGTGTTTGATTTAAACGTGTTCTTCTTCGAGACCTTTCGTCCATCCAAAGGGGCTTGGGCTAATCCTTCAGAAGCAGCCTTCTTCAAACGGGTGTATCTCATGGAACCTATACCTAAGAGCCTCCGAAAGGCTCGTTGACACACTGGACGCCCCAGAAGTTTTTGGGCACAGCGAAACTGATCACCAGCTTCTTTCAGGAGGGCCAAAACCTTACAAGTGAAAAGTGAAAACAATGGTGTTGCTTCCTTCAAACATCTCACACATCAGTGCCTCATTTGTTCTTGGAACAATTAACCACTGACTGAGATTGGAACTTCGTTGTCGGCATCATGCTTCTCAAGTCTGGACAGCCGCAATCGGAGCTGCACCAAAGTATCTAATTCAGATCGGAACTGCTGACAGCAACTACCAGCATGATGTCGAAACCTCCCGTGCTGGGTGCAAGGGCAGGCAGAACTAACAACCTGGAAGAGCTTGCGTCTTAACATCGATGCTTGCAGCACTGAAGAAGGCTGCTCTTTCCTCTTCTTTTGGCAGGGATCTGGACGAGGTGGCTGTATAGGCTGCACAGGGACCATTTGGCAGCCATCTGCAGTCTCAGTCTCATGGTCGCTCAAAGAGTCAACAGCAGCTAAAGAAGAAGGACAGCCAGAATGCCGGCCCTCATGTTGCTCATCATCAGAGAGGCCGTGCACAGGAACCAGGGCCAAAGCCATGCATTGATAGTACAAATCAAAAGGACTACGCCATGACTAAATATCTTTGGATCCCAAAAGTGCTCGGAAGTTGAAATTGGTTCAACTCAAGCTGGTCTAGACCGCTCAAAAGTGAAATCTCAAACGGGCACAATCATCTTGGTAGCACGCACTTTCCAAGCTGGACTGCATCGAAGTTGCACTGTGCAAGCGGCAAACGCAGTGCCACACTGGACTTGGAAGCAAGCATCACTGAATTAGATCCACATCTGAATTGAAACACTACCTGAGCCTGGCCAAAACAGTTCCAGACCCGAAACCAATCACTTTAAGCAGTTGGTGCTCTTCAAGCGGCGGAGCTTTGAACCCAGCGAAGGATCAAGCCATTGGCCTCCCAGTCAGGGGGGGAAAATGAAACCTCTTTTGCCACATCCTCTTACCATCCAAGAAAGGGACAGGGCATTGAACGTGGAATGTGATGAAATGTGATCACTGTCCTGGCCTGGAAACGACCTCTTCATAGGCTGCGTCTGTCGGGGACCTCACTGGACAAGCGACACCTAAACTCACCCAGGAAGCAAGACAAAAATACACAACCAGCCAGCCAGACCTTCAAGCGATGTTGAAGAAGTGGTCAAAGTCTGCCCGCCATCAGCCTACCAAACTCCAGCAGTCAATGTCTAAGACCCTCAAAGATCAGCACTCAAATTGAAAGCCGGCAACATTCACATCTGAAGCCTTGGTCAGCTCAAAAGGTTCATTCTTGTCAATGATGACGACAACATCAGAATCATCTGACAGCACCTTCAAAACAACAATGGCAGCAGCAGCCATCAAAGCAAGAAAAAGACAATGAACAGGGTCAAGACAGAATTGACTTGGAGTTACCTTGCAACATCCATACCTTTGGACGCCTGGCCTGGTCACTCTCGGTCTCTGGGCACTCCGTGGACACGTCAAGTGAAGCCAAAGCGGTTCCAGAACAACCCTGGCCCTTCATTTTGTTTCGGGCATCAGCAGTGACATCAACACCACACGATTCATCATCTGACGGAGGAAAACCGCTGTGACCACCCCAGCCACCCGGGCAGTAGACGCTGCTCCACCACCCTTGAACTGGTTCATCAGAAATTATACCACGCTTTCCCATGGACAAGTGAAAGACAAGCTGTCACTGTCAAAGTGATGGCCCAACTGGAGACTCTATTAAAAACATGCGCGCTAAGGCTAAGGTTTGGGCCAGGGAGTGAAACACAAACGCAAGATGGTTGGAAAGCATCTTTAATAGCAGCATGGACTGCTCAATGTCTGATCACCAAGACCGAAGAGCTGCACAATGCCCTGCAAAAACAAGCCAGGCCGACGTAGGACACTGGAGGGCAGACAGGAACACCGATTCCCATGGAATGCAACAGGCGGTTGAACATCATTGCCCAAAGCAATTCAACCGCTGGCAAGTGCTTTCAAACTTTGCTCATGCTCATTCAGAATGCTCATGGCAAGGGACGCCACCTTCGGCATCACTACATTCCCGCAAGCATTCAATCTGCGCTGGTCATCTTCAGCCCACTCACTGAGCAACCAGGAATGAAGCGGAACAGTGCCAAATGAGTTCCAGTCTTTGCAACACTGCTGTTCAATCACCTCCGCCGACATTGGCATCTTGTCCTGACAGGCGCAATGTGAAAAGTTGATGACAAAAGGTTCCGGACCTTAAAGATTGAACGTGATGCTCTGCATTCTGACCGCTTTGACAAACAACAATTTTACAATGAAACTCATGGCTGAAAACAAAATCAAAATAGATCCTGTCCTCAAACAACTTGCCTGCAAACGTTGGCTTCTGCGCCAGCAGGAAAAATCTCTCCCGCATCACCTGCGGGTTGTTTGGCCCAAGCCAAGAACACAACAGCAATGATTCAGTCAACAAGCTGGCCAAGTTCAAGGCCTGTGCCCCGACATTCTTGCCAGCAATGGTCGCCCACTTAATGTTGAAGCCACGCTTTGCAAACTCCTGGCAGCCAGTGGGCCAACGGTGGCATCACAGTGAAAGTCCCGTGAAAACTGAGAGCCACCTCTGCAACAAAGTGCATCATTGGCCGCATCTTTGAACTCAGGATGTGCTTCACGTTCTCCAATACGGCACATTGCCTGGGCCGGAATGCAACGAAATGCGCTTTTGACGCATGTTTTAACAAGTGTTCGGGGCAGCTGTGCCTTGAAACACGAGGACACTTGCTGAAGAAGGGTCCCCTGCGCTATGTTCAACCTAGTTGCAAGTTTGAGTTTTCATCCAGCACACGGAAAACTTCTCTGATGAGGGAACTGCGGGCATCCGCAAGCCCTTGCATGGCTCCTGCCTGGCAAATGCCCTTAGCAAGCCAAAAGTCACAAGCAACAAACAAGTTCTGAAATCTGGGATGGCAACTGAAAAATAAACCCAAGACCTGTCAATAGAAAATGTGATGCTAAAATTTGTTTAACCAAAACACTTGACACGGAAAGCCAGCTGTCAAGCCAACACTGTCCGCATAGGGGCCAGTGGGATGGAACTTCAGAATGTCACTTTCGATTGGAGCTTTTGGCAACAAACCATCCATCATTCGGGCCCGCAGCACACTCTGGCAGTAGAGATCTGCTTCAACCTTATTGCGAAAAAAAGCTCGCGCAAAACATCCAATAGCGAACCAGCCATCGAGCGTCAACCATTGCCATCACGAGACAAAAGACTGCCCAATCATCTACTACAACCAAGGCTGCCACATACACGGTAGGCCTTGCATACCTTAGCAAAGCAAGGGGTGAACCACTAGCATTTAAAAGTTTCACTCATGTTGGAATTTTATTCTGTTTAATAAGACCCCCACTCGCCAAGTCCCAGTTCGAGGCCACACACACCAGAAAACAAACTTATCATTGGCAGCAGCTTGCCGGATGCCTGCGCGGCTTTGGCGGATAACAGAATTACATCGAAACATTCAGTGAGCATCCAAGCCTCCAGCCGCTTGTGGCAAGGAAACAGATTCCTGAACTGCGCTTTGGAAACTGCACCCTGCTTGGGCAAGGTCCAGCCACGTGGAAGTCCTGGGTAGCAAATGAAATTCATTCCAAACCCGATGCTTGTTGAATGCACTAGTTATTAAGCTGCAATCTTTTGACAATGGCACTTGCTGCAACCCGTTTTTTTGGGACTGCACCCATTTCGACCGAGATTCCACACAGAAATTCTGCCACTTCAGGGTTGAGCTTGGTACCCTTTTTGATCTTGTTCTGCCGGCAAGCTTTGCTAAAATCTTCCCACCAATAAATTTGGTTCGCCAAGTCCTGCAAAAGCGACAGCTGATAAACCGGAAGACCCACTCGAACAAACCATGATTGTTCCCTGCCTGGCACCCTCGCACTGACAGGTAGCCTGTATTGGCTCTCTGCGTTGCCCCAAACAAACCTGGGCGGATAATAGAATACCCACCAAACACTGTTGAAAATAAACCGCAATATGGTTTCGAAAATCTCTCGGACCCCAACGAACACAGCCAAACGACTTCCGCCAGATGGGCTTGGTCTGGAGTTTCTTGGTTTTGGTCTTGAGTTTACCCTTCAGCACCTTCTTGCTTCTGGGAGGCACCTCACAGAAAACACGCATGGCATGTAAAGCCAAGTGACAAACAAGAAATACTAATGATTGAACATGAAAATTCCTAACAGCATGCATATGCCGTGACAACTTAGCAGCTGAGGTTCCAATTTCATGTTGACTGAAGATGCTTGAGGAAGGCGTTGCACAGGTTGAAACGAAGCTACATCATCTAACTCCGTCCAGAACCCCTTCTCCCCAAACAAAGGCCAGCGATCCGTCGGAGAAAACTTCTCAGTGTGGTGCGCCTCAACCCGCACAATGGGAAATTTTGCAGGCAGAAATCCAACCTCTATAGCCAATATGGTTTTCCTTCGTTTCACCACTGGGCAAAACCAGGACCCGGGCAGCATGCATCCTCTGTTGCGCGGGCTCAGCAGCATGTTTGCACCTTCACAACGACTCAAACAGAGGCGCTGGCATCACAAATGATTCAACCACAGGTGCTAGCAGCTAGCAGCTAGCATCATAAGTTTTGGAAAATAAATTTCAAGAAACATTGGCACCACCAGCAAAGAAAATGAGGGCAGCACTCCATGGGTCGGTCTTGCCCCCCATCATCACTCAGGAACGATACGCTTCGAAGCTTCATGGCAGAAACCGCAGTTCAAACCGTGGCGAGTCTTGTCTGAAAGCGAAAAAAGAACCTGCCCAAAAACTTCCTTCTAACATCATTTTCTGCTGTTTTAAGCTGTCATTGCTTTAAAAAACTGTCATCACTGATGCCCGCAGCACCAAGAAGCTGTGAGGCTTCCCTGAGCAATACCGTGGCCACACGGGGTCGGCTTAAAACTGCTTTGAACGGAAGGTATAGCTGTTAATCTTTCATATTTTTGTACCTTTACATGGAAAGATTTGGCGTAACATTCACGACTATAAACCTAGTACCTCCGTGAACAGATTAATTAGCCACCTGGTTGTCAGCAAAATGTCCAATCATCGTGTGGGTTTCTTGTTTTTCTTCCACCGCCCTATTGCAAAATATCCCACCAGCTAGCTATGTCTGAAGACATGATAATTCAAAATTTCATGTAACTATGGATTGCTACCAAACTCCCCACCTAGCTACGTTTCAAAAAATATTAATCTTGTCTATGAACCTACTGGTCCCCTTTAAAAGTACTGTCTATCAGCCTTATCGTCTGACTATCGAAAAGGCAGTCTCCTCGATCAGTTTGATCTCTCAAGGGGCTACCTAAGGCAGTCTTGTCGATCAGCTTGATCTCTCAAGGGGCTACCGTGAGAAGAGCTCTGAGGAAGCAAACATGCAGCGAAGGGTAGCAGTCAGTGCCCTATTGAAGGGAGAAGCTCCCACTGCTACTGCTAGCCATCACAGTGATGGCCACTGAAATTTGGCAACCCTGGTTGCTGTTTGCAACCCCGGTTT